AACTTGCTCTTCGACGGTACCCTCCGCACTGCATCGAAAAAGGCCGGCACAAGCATGAAGTGTTCTTGCGGTAGCTGCCATGGCCATGTCGCCAGTAGCCAGGCCAACACAAAAATGCCTGCATAGCAAAGGTTAAACTATATATTGCATGATCTCATGTTATACGACACTATGCTTTATTGTGCCATTTTTCATTGACCAAGTGTGCTCGGAATGTTGCTGGACAACCAGGTGCTGCCTCCAGTCCTCCCCAAGCTCCATGAAGTGCGCAATGATCATGCCGAACCATGTCTAACCACACCTACGACGCGGAGGAACCACGATCAAAATTTGGTAGCCTGGCCCCTTCGATAGCAATTGTTCCGTTTCGATCAAAACACCATCCAGAAAGCTTGCAACAACGTACTGAACATCATCTTCGTCATGGCAAGGCGAACAGGAACTGACTGCCCACTGTAGCAGATTCATCATGAACAGCCATACGGCTCCGTGATATAAGCCCTCCTTGCTCCTGGATGTTCAGGAGTTCGTCCGCCTCCTGGGTGGAGTTGTGCTGGCAGCTGGACAAGATTTCAATCTTCAGGATACTCTCGGAGTTCAGGGCATTTGGGACCTTCGAGTTCCTTGTACCCTATTCTAGTGATTTAAGAACCCTATATAGACCCCTTATGAGAACCCTTTCTAGAAAAGATGAGTCGGGCTAGGGTTTCGGATGATGGACCTCGAGAAAGCAGCCTGCAAAGAGGGGTTTGGAGGCGTTTCGGGGTCGGTCTCAGCAGACGAAGCCGGGGTGGACCGGAGGTGTAGTTCCAGATTGGGGCAACCGAAGTCCTGCAATGCAAAGGCTACATTATAATTTTGGATCCGAAGAACCTACGAAAATTAGATGAACCCCAAAGAATTGTTCTACTTCTTATGGCCCCCGTGTTACATCTCCGCTTTTCTCAGTCTCCTCCTATTGATAGTGACAGTCGTTTGTTTGACACCCGAGGAATTTTGAATTCGAGCCTCGATTTTAAGACTGCAGTTGTTTGGGCGAACCCAGCGGTCATGCTTCCCACAAACAACGTAACGTACATCGAGTTTCGGTGCCAGATTGGAGACTGGGGTTTTCGTGAAGACCGTGTGCAGCGTTGGTAAGAAGAAAGTAAGAATTTGAACGTCAGTCCAAATATGATCCTGGAGTTGCTTGAAAACTCAGCCACAGGCTTGAAGTGACGCTGCGCTTCGTTGTAGGTACAGCAGCATCAGGCCTGTGCAATCACAAGTGTCAAGCAGTATTCTAAACATAAGTGCAAGTAGGACTAGCCATAGTCGGGACTACAGCAGCAGCAACTGTACCTCAGCACCTCGGATCATGTACAAGAATCGCGCCAAAGCCCAACGCTCCGCGTCTTCTGAAGTACTGGGGAAAGTTCAGAGCCCACACGATGCTCCCGCCATCACACGAGGTCATGCAACTTCTCCAGGAGCAGGCCTTGCTGATGGGACCAGGGTTTGGGGATTTAACAGTTCAGGGTCTAGGGGTTTTTTAGGCTTTCCCGGCAAGACTGCAAGAGGCCCGGATGCAAAAAGGGTTTCGGGTTCAGGGCAAAGGGTTCCTGTTTTTGTACATGCGCGTGCTTTCTTTCTGCTTGGGCACTCGTTTTGGGTAGAGGGATCTCCCGGGCGACGAGGCAAGCCCGCTGCAGACAGGGATTCTGGTTTGGGGTTGTTTCTGAAAGCGGTTGAAAGAGTAGTGTAGTGTGCCGAGGGCCTATCCACGAGCCCGCAAAGACGGGGAGGGCAGAGTGGCCTCAGCCCCGATGCAGCCCTGATCACTGGATCATTCAGGCTTTTGCTGTTTAGTTGTTTTGTTTTTAAATTCTCCTGCTGAAGAAACACTGTCTCTACCTAGAATCTAGAATCTCAGGTGTTGCACCGAACATCCCACAACTCTAAACCGCAAAAAACTCTAAACCGCAAAGCTGATTGGAGACTGTGGAGCCTTGCCTGCCGAGTGAGAGTGTGCGAGTCGAAACCGCACGACCCCTCGCTCCGTAAATCCCTAAACCTCTACAATCCTTTGATAAATTCATTATAAGCCCGCAATAAGCCCTAAACCGTATACCTCGCCTGCTTCGTCCGAGTAGCGAGAGTAAGCCTGAGGCGATAGATCCAAGAACTCTAAAACCAGGTGACGGCTTTGGAGGCAGGTCGGCTTACAGTTGTGTGCTTGCCGTCCAGGGCTCCTCCTTGGCAACAGGTTTCTGATCTTGACTCGTTCCTTTTCAAAAAAGACACCCTTCTTGGGATTCTGGTTTTGGGATATATACCCGTGAGACTGGAGGACATCGTGTCAAGTTTTGCTGTGACGGGCTTTCTGTCTCAAGGTGTCTCAAGGCTAGCTTTCTTTGGTCGTCAGCGGTTGAGGATTCGTGTTGGGGATTGATGTCCGTTGCGCTTTGGAATGGCTCTGCGTGATATGCCCATCGTCCTCTGCAGGTACATACCCACTTTGGATGGTCGTAGCTATGCGATATGCATAGCCACAAATACAGCTGTGGTAACGGTAGTCCCGCTAGTCAAAACATCGTAAGACCGTTCTGCACGTTGTCGAAGCAAGAGTGCTGCCGCCGTGGTCTACCTGTGGTTATTTGCGGAGCGTTTGGGGGGGAGTGATGGCGCCTTGGCTGCCACCTGGAAGCCTTCCCAGTGACCGCCCGTGAGCCCGCGAACCCTGTGCTTTGAAATCCCGGATGCTCGTGCAGGAGGGGCGACAGCAGCCTACTGCCAACATAGGTGGGAAGTCTGAAAGCTTCAGAGATCCTTTTGTGATCGGCTTCATTGTACATAATTTACGCTCTCGTGTTGTATAGTAGGAAATGTCATATATCATGCAAACCGATACCTGCCAGAACTGATAGAAGTTTTCATTTGCGGCGGACCTGACTGTTTATTTGGCACGACTGGTCCTTCGAAGTGGTCAAGTTTCGGCTCGCATCCTAGATTGTCTCCTAGTGTTGCAAGAGCTCAAAATCAAAAGCCGCTCTGTCGCCTTGCTAGTGATTCTATCGAGGGCCTTTGAGAATCCTTCTTGCAACGGTAAAGTGTACATTATAGACAAGCTTACAATCAGTGACTCTGCTTGAATTCGTAGACAGCTGATTTGCGGGTGTACAGAAAGCAAACAAATCGTGGCAACCTGGGCAACCTGCCGCAGTCAGTTAATCATAGGAGTTATAATCTCATCCATGAGTCTGCTTAATTGCGTGTTGGCGGTTTGGCTTGACACTTTGAAGTAAGTGCACCCATCTGCTAAACGATTGCTCTTTCTTAGCCACTTGGAAGAGCATGCATGTTGAAACCCTTTCGACTGGAGGAACCGTCAGCTGGAGCTGCGCCCACGCTGCTTGAATCCTGGTCTGCTTGTGTGCCACCAGTGGTGTCGTGCTGGGACTGCTGTTTCTCAAACGTTTAAACATCCCCCAACTCCGAACATCTGCTGTGTTCCCGATCCCGCGGAATTGGAAAAGAGCAGAAAGAAGAGGGTCGTCCGTCCTCTATATACAGATACATATGTAGCTACGCAATACTCAGTGCACCTGCATGAAATTATGCATTGCGGGTGGGTTTTCCGGAATCGCATACCAAAACTATCATTCTGCCACCCTCCAGGCTTCCAAGCATTGCCACTCCAAGCACTCGAAGCCCAAATTCGAATGTAGGGGCCTTCATATATATATATATATGTATACATACACCTATATCTACATACACCTATATCTACATACACCTATATCTACATATTATATATATATATGTATATATTATGTATATTATTATTATCATTATTATTATTAAGACCCTTATATTAATTGACCCTTCCAGGTCGACCCTCGAGCTGCGACGCTTTGTGCCTACGCTGCAGGCCAGGCCCAGGAACACGAAGACGTGAGAGCAGAGTTCAGGCTTTTTCAGGTTGCAGGTTCCGATTCCTGGGGGGGGCTGAAGTAGCTGTGGGGTTCAGGAATAGCACGCGATGATGTTCCAGGCTTGTGGCACAATGTCTGGGGACAGCTCCACGGGTGTAAGCAGCAATGATTTCTATCTGTCTTGTGCGATGACCCCACTCCGTGAGTCTGAACAACCTGAAGCCCTTGGCCGCTGGCTTTATGCCCCTTGTCGCAGGCTTTCTGGCTATCGTAGCCGAAGGCCACGAAGCTTGTCGCCAAGTGCTCGGCTCAGACTTTATGGGACTTTGCAACAGAGTAGATATGGCCAGCGATGGTCTCCTGAAGTTGTTCGAAGCTAAGGGAAGCTTATCTGTTATCTTGATTGCAAAAGGAGCATACTATATATATATATGTACACAGACACTAGCACATTTATTATGCGTGCATACATACTTGCATACATACTTACATGCGCATGTATGTGTACCTATACACACGCACATACTTTTGACTTTGAGAGCGCTGCGAGGTCGTCCAAGCTTAGCGTGAAGTCTGGAGACAGGTGTATGTATGCATGCATGCATGTATGTATGTATGTATGTAGGTAGGTAGGTGGTAGATAGGTATGTAGGTATGTATGTATATGAAGCTCTGAGCCCTTTGTCGTCAGACCAAGGCCTTGCATGGAGCTGGTGGCATCAGTTTGCTAATGCGTACTTTGGACCTGTGCCACCCCCCGCTTTCCAGCTGTGCGATGCCTGTGCTTTTGGATTGAACACAACTATGTGTCCTGATCTCCATCACGAGCGCTGCATAGTCGATGTTTTTCGCGGACATAGTACTTTCGAATGTGCCCGTTGCTGCTTCTTGTCCTGCTGTCCACTGCAGCCGTTTTCCATTGGCCTTCGAGGCCAGGCTTGTGCTGAATGCTGTCGCAGGGAAGGTTCGAAACATGAGGAGTTGAGATGTCCTATAGACTTTGCCACTTGTAGATGCCGGAATGTGAATGAAGCAGGCCGGCGTAGAGTCCAGAACACTTTGAGCTTGCAGCGCCATGTCAGTAGCATGCGAGAAAATACGGACGGTTCCGAAGCGGCACAAGTCCCACTGTCCGGAGACAACACCGACGGCAACGCTGACGGTAACACCGACACTGTTGCGGCCACAGCCTCAGCGGAAGGCAACAGCTTTGGGCCTCGAGATGGCAGCGAAGAAAGGTCGCAAGGCCGCTTGCAGCAGGCATTGGGCCGCGCTGCGGCTCCCTTGGCAGGTGCAGCCAGTGGCGCGCTTGGCGGAGCGCTTGGCGTAGCAGCGGTTGCCAGTGGTGGGGCCCTGGGTGCTCTTGCTGCTGTGGCCTTGGCCGGAACCTTGGTGTCCACCGCTGTCAAGGCGCAGGCAGCACAAGACCAACAGCTGCCGACTGAGCAGTCGCAGATTGAGACTCAGAGTCAAGAACTCGTTGGCACTGAAGATCTTGCAGAATCTTCAGAATCGCGACAGTCGCGACACGCAGAAAACCATCCAGATGACAATGGGGGCCCGCTACCACCTCCGGAGGAATGCCCGGGATATGTTTCGTAAAACGGGTATCCAGTCACGGAGAGTCTGTTGATTACGGTTGATGACTAGGAAGCCGACAGTAGCTGGAAAAGGTGATGGTTGTAGTAATACTACCAGTTCCAGCATCAGTAACAGCAAAAAGTGATAGCAATACATGGCCATCGGTGGTTGTACTGACAGACCCCACCACGTGCAGTGCTGCAGGAGGAGGACGCGGAGTCTACCGGGTCGGAGGTGGTGCTGCGGCCCCAGTATACTAGTTGTTACTAGTTGTGCTTCTCAACCTCCCAACAGCGCCGGATTGCCTGCATGATTCACGAATTCGGAGGAAGCTCGGAACAAGGTTACCAACCGAGCCTTTGCAATCCACTTGCGCGAGCACTCTGCAGTGTTGCTCGGCTGTGATACTTGTAGCTCCATCCTGGGATCGTTCAGGTCGAGACAGGCTGTTGCTGACCTTCTGGAGGTTGCAGAGCCTGAAGCCCAGGCAAGGCATCCTTAGAGATTCAATCAATCCGTCATGCCGGAAGTCATGCTAATTACGTCAAACACAGCAGAGCTGTGCAGAGTGATGTGAAGGACACTAAAACTTAAGGCTCAAAACTTTCAACGCATGCTTTCACGGAGAATCATAGACACAGTGCGCGCACTCCGTCGAACGCGAGTCCCAGCGTTGATGACGAGTTCGGCCCTATTGAATGAAAGTCGACAACCTGATTCTCAAGTCGTCAAGTCCTGAAGAACACTGGCTCCAGGACGGTGACGCTGAGTACGCCCAGCTTCTACTGGCTGGCTCCGAGCTGGTGGGGAGCGTTTGATTAAAAGGATTCGTATGCCAGCATAGCAGCATCCGCCACCGTATGCAGTGGCGATTAAACTTGGGAATGATGGAGGTGGTGGTACTAGTAATCTGCCACACATGATGGTCATTGCGTGACCGTGTTTGTGATCATGGTGGCGGCAGTGATGATGAGAACGATGAGGGAGGAGGAGGTGGAGGAGCAGGAGGAGGAGGAGGAGGACGAGGAGGAGGAAGTGAAGAGGGAGGACTGGAGGCCAGTGACAACGATAGCTATACTGCGACAATGACGACAACAACCAGGGTTGTTGTTGATGGTGATGGTAATGGTGATGACCGATGTCTTGACAATGATGAAGATAATGAGCATCAGTATGATGGTAACCGCGGTGGCGGTGGTGGTGGTGGTGGTGGTGGTGCGTCGGCTGCTAGCACTGAGGATAGGGATGATATGGGATGATGATGCTCGAAGTTTGATGGATGACGTGCAGAAAGACAAAGACATGCAACAACAAAGCAAGCTTTCTGCTAGCACAAGTGCGAGATGATATCAAAATGATGTGGCTTCCGATGTATTTTCGGTCATTCAGTCGTCCAGCCTATTGAAAGCTGGCCAGAGCCTGTCACCCCGCAGCAGTCCCTTAAGCTTGGCTCCACACCTGCCAGTTGCCGCTGGTCCGACTGCTGCATCGTCTGCACGTACCCTGGTTGAGCACAGCTTGTGTGTACATTGAGGCAGGTGGCAGCAGCACCTTACACCCGGACTCCTCAGTTGGATAGAGTGAAGAACACCGAGGAGAAACCCCAGCCTTGACGATGTTTGATTTTGCGTGGTCGAGGTTATAAGTCAACTGAACTCCCTGTAGCCCACAACCTTTAGTCCTGAACCATAACACTTCAGAAGTTGCACCGGTTGCTACTTGGTGTTGGCCTGGTTTTCGGTGAAGTCTGTAACCTTCCATGGTGCTCCCCATGAACATCCCTGAACCTCTCAAGAATCTCACCGAACTCCCTGCGGCGCGACGTCGTCAGCTGGGCGGGTGGGAAGAATAGTTAGAGAGTTTGAGTCTCAAGCGCCGTTTGCTAAGGCAAAGGATCCAAGGCAGATGGAGCAGCTGTGCCACGAGCAGGTCTCGTTAGGGCTTAGTGAGTTTAGTGTTTGAGGGTTCGAATCTTAAGGCTTGTGAAGGGTTTTAAGGGTTTAGTGGGTTCTGTGGCTGAAGGGCTTACGGGTTTGGGGGTTTAGTCAGGCTTTCAGGGTTTTAAAGGGCTTTGGGAGGGAGCTGGTGCATAGACTACACACAAGCTCGATGACTCAAGTCCATTCCGAAGAGCCGACAGGCGTCACAAAACACAAGTTATCTCTAGGAAGTGAGTTTGTTGTTTGAGGCAGTCTGCTGTTTGTAGATAGCTTGCAGATGCGTGCTGGGTTGGGGTGGCTTTAGCAGATCGACGCAAACTTGGTCAGCATGTGCAGGTGGGTTCATTTAGCAGCTGCGACATAAGCTTTACCAGCTTTTTGCGAGGACTCCGGCTTTGCTGCATACCAGTTCTTTCGGACCTTTGGTAATGTTAACTCTTGATTAATAA